TTTTTTTTTTTTTTTTTTTTTTTTTTTTTTAGCATGTCGATCCCTTAGAACTGTTCAGAATATCTCTCAACTCAGAGAATAGTTGTTCTTCTTTTGACATCTCTCAACTTAGAGAATAGTTGCTTTTCTTTTGACATTTTGTCTTTCATGATACTGCTTCATACTCGTTACTTCCGTATGCAGAATTTCTTTTACTTTTTCAGGCTTCACTCAACCTGTCCTGCTTCTGAAAGAATGTCTTTTTACGAGCTTCACCCAGCTCATCCCTTTAGTAAGGGAATATTTCTTTTAATAAAGAAATGGACTTAATGCTTTACTAATCCTTTCGTGACTTATTAAATCTAGTAATAACGTAATCAGCAGTAGAAACACGTGAAATAAATACGAATTTTATTAAAAACTTATTGAAAACAATATTCGATAGTCGAGCATCAGCATCCATTAAACATTGGTCTGCTTTATTGAAGCTAAAAACATACTATCACTTTTAAAAGTGAGATAATAAGACATAGCCTGTACCTACTGGTAATATTTCCTCAAATGTTCTTGTGGAGGGAAAAATTTCCCTCCAATAAGAATGAGACACGTCACCATTATACAAATCTGCATTTAGGATATCTTAGAAGCCCGTCCGGATCAAGCCCAAGTTACGTTGTGCTTTAACCCATTATCATTTATGTTGGGCCTCCAAAGCTAGACAAAAGTACCGATCAACCCAACATCACCACTGTTGAAGTTTTGATCCATTAGTCAAGTCACTTACACCAAACCGCATCCAACCCAAGTATAACTAAATATGGCTCAGTCCTATTTAACAAAGGAGTCAACCCGGAAGAAAAGTTTTTATACAAAGCAAATTCTACATAGGAAATATCATACAATGGAAAAAACTCTATTTGTAAAGAAAGTCATATATGGAAAGAATTGGAGGACAAGCAACGCGAGTCCTACCATAATTCTTCCAACTTTTGTGTATAAATAGAGGCCTAGACCTCCAATAAAGGGGCAAGCAATTCAATTCTTCTATAGACACTGTTCTTGTTTATTCTTATTGTTTGTTGAGTGTGTTGTATTATTTTCTCTCGATCGGAATTGGTTGAGCCAAATTTTGCATTTACAATTCTGCATTCCATGGGTGGAGAAGTTGGCTCCCACTAAGTGTCTCTAACCAATATGCCCCCGGTTTGTTGCACTGGGTTACTCGATAGGGGCCCTCCTAGTTATGAGCTAACTTTCCTTCCCCCTTCACCATAGTAGCTGGGGTAACCTCGCGAAGCACCAGGTCCCCTGGCTCGAACCTCCTTAGCTTGACCCGGGCGTTATAGTACTTGGATACCATCCGTTGGTAAGTTGCAACCTTGATTTGGGTCTGCTCTTTTTTTTCTTCTATCAAGTCCAAGTTTAACCGTTGTTCCATCTCGTTCTGTTGAGGTTCAAAATACTTGGTTCTGAAGGTAGCAACCTTTGTTTCTACCGGGATCACAGCTTCATTTCCAAAAGCTAACCCAAAAGGGGTCTCCCTAGTGGGGGTTTTTACGGTAGTGCGATAGGCCCATAAAACTCCGGTTAGTTGTTCAGGCCACAAGCACTTGGCCTTTTTTAGACGTGTCTTGATCATCTTTAGTATTGTCTTATTCGTGACCTCAACTTGCCCATTGGCTTGGGGATAGGTAGGAGAAGAGAAATGAACTTTGACCCCAAGTTCATTACAAAAATCAAGGAACTGCTCACTTTCAAACTGCTTCCCATTATCGGTCACAATTACCCTTGGTACTCCGAACCTGCAGATTCTTGTCTTCCAGAAAAACTTTTTTACTTCATTCGCTCCAATATGAGCTAACGGCTCAGCCTCCACCCATTTAGTGAAATAATCAATAGCCACAATTGCGTATTTAGTTTGTCCCTTCCCTTAGGGTAAGGGGCCGATGAGGTCCGTCCCCTACTGGGCAAAAGGCTACGGCCCTGTAAGAGGGGTTAACTCTTCTACTGGTCGTTTTGGGACATTGGTGAATCTCTGGCACTTGCCACATTTCTTCACAAACTCAAGCGCATATTTCCTCATAGTAGGCCAAAAGTATCCTTGTCGGATAGCTTTATGCGCTAGTGATCTGCCCCCAGCATGGTTTCCACGAAGGCCTTCATGTATATCCTTTAGAATGTAATTTGCCTCATCTATGGAGACACAACACAAGTAGGGTAGAGAAAATCCCTTCTTGTAGAGAACCCCTTCAATGAGGCAATATTTTGCCGCACGCATCCTGATCTTTCGTGCTTCCATGCGATCCTGTGGTAGCTCTTCGTTCTCTATGTACCTGATAATGGGTTCTGCCCATTCCATACCTCGGATCACCTGGTGTATTTTCTATGGCCAATCCCAAACTATGCTAGGCTCAGCCAAATGTTTCACAGGTATAACTTTATCCTCCTCTGCTGCGGTTGTTAGTCGGGCTAAGGCGTCTGCTTGACCATTATCTTCTCGGGGAATCTGATGAATGGAAAACTTCTTAAAGAAGCCTTTGATATCTTCTATCTTATGCAGATAGGTCTTCATCTTCTCATCCTTTGCTTCATATTCCCCCTAGACTTGTCCAGTTATTAGTTGAGAATTAGTATACGCTATTAGTCGCTCAACTTCTAGGGTTTTAGCCATCTTGAGGCCTACCAGGAGGGCTTCATATTCAGCCTCATTGTTGGTTACTCTAAACCCAAACCTGAGGGCGTATTTGATGCATTCGCCCTCTGGGGAAATAAGTACTAGCCCCGCCTCACTTGCACGGCCGTTGACCGATCCATCCACATACAATGTCCAAGTAGATTCAGTTTCTTCTTGTTCATCTACGCCGTGCTCGTACCTATCTTCTGGTGTGAATTCTACTATAAAATCTGCCAGTACCTGAGCTTTTAAGGCCGTTCTGGGTTTGTATTGGATATTAAACTCTCCAAGTTCTACTGACCACTTCATGAGTCACCCCGAAGTATCAGGTTTGCAGAGGACTTACCTAAGTGGCTGGTCTGTCAATACTATTATGGTATGTGCTTGGAAGTAAAGCCTGAGTTTCCTTGCAGAGACAACTAGGGCAAGGGCCAACTTTTCTATCCTTGGGTACCTCTCTTCTGCCCCTCTGAATGCACGGCTAGTATAATATACTGGCTTCTGGATTCCATCCTTTTCGCGGACTAAGGCTGAACTTACTGCCAATGGAGAAACCGCCAAGTACAAATATAACTGCTCTCCTTGCATTGCCCGTGATAGTAACGGTGGTGAAGTGAGATACTCCTTTAATTCTGTAAAAGCTTGCTCACACTCAGGTGTCCATGAAAAAGCTTTCCTGAGCACACGAAAAAAAAAAAGCAAGCATCTATCCGTTGCCTTGGAAATCAACCTGTTCAGAGCGACGATTCTTCCTGTCAATCTTTGAAGTTCCTTAGTCTATGCTGGAGACCGCATGTTGAGAATTGCTTGGATTTTCTCGGGGTTGGCCTCTATCCCTCTCCTGCTTACCATGTAACCAAGGAATTTCCCTGAGGAGACACCAAAGGCACATTTGTCTGGGTTGAGTTTCATTAAGTGTTTCCTAAGGACTTGGAATGTCTCCTGTAGATCAGCTAGGTGGTCTTGAGCTTTCAAGCTTTTTACCAGCATGTCATCCACATATACCTCCATATTCCTTCCGATTTGATTCTTGAACATCAAGTTGACTAGCCGCTGGTATGTTGCACAAGCATTTTTAAGCCCAAAAGGCATCACCTTATAGCAATACAAACCTCTATCCGTGACAAAAGAGGTCTTTTCTCTATCTGGTGGATGTATTAAGATTTGGTTATATCCCGAATATGCATTCATGAAACTGAGCAACTCAAGGTCAACCGTTCCTTCTACTAACATGTCGATTCTTGGCAGAGGGAAGCTATTTTTGGGGCACGCCTTATTTAAATCGGTAAAGTCTACGCACAACCTCCATTTTCCATTGGCCTTTTTTACCAAAACAACATTGGCCAACCAGTCGGGATAATTGACCTCTTGGATGAAATCAACTTTCAGAAGCTTGTTCACCTCTTCTGATATAGCCATATTCCTCTCCGCGGCAAATGTTCTTCGTTTCTGCCTGATAGGTTTGACTGTGGGATCTGTGTTTAATCGATGCTCGATCGTAGCTGGATCAATACCAGGCATGTCTTCATGTGACCATGCGAACACATCTTGATTATGTCTGAGGAACTGTACAAGAGTATTCATGAAGTCTAAGGGGAGTAGAGACCCTATCTTCACCTTTTTTGTTACGTCATTGTCATTTAAGCATATCTCTACCAGGTCCTCAATTGACTTGGCTCAATCTCGCTCCTGTTCTTCAATTTCTTCGACAACCAAAGCCTCTTGCTGCTTCTTTTCTCTCAGAGAAGCAACATAGCATTCTCTGGCAGTGGTCTGATCTCCTTTTAGTTCACCTACGCCCTACTCTGTAAGGAAACGCATCAAGAGGTGATAAGTCGAAGTGATTGCCCTCATCGAGTTTAAGGTAGTTCTTCCTAGGATAACATTGTAAGCAGATAGGCAATCCACCACCAGGAAGTTTACCATAACAGTAACTTGTTTAGGGCTGGTTCCTGTAGTGACAGGAAGAAGGACCGCTCCTAGAGGGTAGACCTTATCTCTCGTGAATCCCACCAATGGTGATCTAGTAGGTCTGAGTTTCTCCTTACCAATATTCTTTTGCTGAATGCATCAAGAAAATTGATATCAGCCGAACTTCCATTATCCACCAAGATCCGTCGAGTAGTATAATTAGCGATCATCATAGTAACAATGAGAGGGTCGTCATGGGGTTGTTACACGTCCTTAATATCTTCATCTGAGAATGTGATAATAGGATCACCTAAACGTGGCATTTTTCGATGTGGATTCTGTATTCCAACTTCGCAAACTTCAGATGAGTTTCGCATTCTCCTGGCATAGGCCTTACAGGCTGAACTTGATTCTCCACCACCTGCACATCCCCCCGCTATGACCCTAATTTCTCCCATTGGTTGTTGATCAGGGAGGTGGTTATCTCGGCTTGCTCTTGGTAGATTAACGTCGGTTCTGTCATTCCCCATAACAAATTTTCGCATGTGCCCCTTCGGATCAAAGTCTCAATCTGATCCTTGAGGTCGAAGCAATCCTCTGTGGCGTGCCCATGGTCTTTATGGAACCTACAGTACTTATCACGAAGTCTCCTCGCCGGGTTTGACTTCAATTTTGGTGGCCACTTCAGATATGGTTCATCCTGGATCTGTAGAAAAACTTGATCTATTGGCATATTTAAAGGAGTGTAATTTGTATATCTCTCCGCGCTCTTATAGCGAGATGCCCTTTCATTCTGGTTGATCATAGGTTTCTTATACTTGGTTTCCTTTTCATCTTTGGTTATTAGAGCCGGCCTTTTCTTGTCTGCCTTTTTATCATCCCCTTCTTTCCCCTTTCTTACCATCATTGCATCTTCAGCATTCATATGTTTTTTAGCTCGAACCAGTAACTCGGCCATGCTGGTAGGGGGTTCTTCTGATAAAGAGAAGAGAAATCTCGAGGTTTGGAGTCCCCCCATAAAGGCGGCTAAAGCCACCTTGTCATCCGCTTCCTCCACCTGCAACATTTCCGTATTGAAACGACCAATGTAGTCTCGCAGTGACTCTCCTTTCTGCTGCTTTACAGTAAGAAGGTAGGTAGCAAGCCTTTTATGCTTCTGGCCAGCAATGAAGTGTCCCATGAAACGCTTACTCAATTCTTCAAAGGTTTCGATGGTCCCTGGCTTCAGCTTATTAAACCACACTCGTGTTGATCCTTTGAGAGTTGTTAGGAAAGCCCTGCACATGATCTCATCTGGTATCGCGTGTAAATGAATTAGTGCTTGAAAAGTCTCCAAGTGGTCGATGGGATCTTTAGTTTCGTCGAAACTCTCAATTGAGGGCATTCTAAATTTGCTCGGCAAGGGGTATTTCATAACCGAGGGGCTGAACGGCAAGTTAGTCTTCTGTACCAAACTATCTATGGCTGCAATACCTTTCCCTTTGTGGCCTGTATCACATTCTTCATCTTTGCCTTGAGATCTTGTATCTTTGGGTCAACGTGGGAAATCTCCTCTGTCTTTTCAACGACAGTTGTGTTTTCATGAGGTCGGGAACTCTGTGGAAGAGATGGGTGGATCACTTCTCTAAGTCGGTTCCCTACCTGGCTTTGTTCCACTTCGGTCTCATGTCGAGGAGGATGATTATCCTGCCCTTCATCATTCCCATTACCTCTATTCGGATTCGAGAGATCTTGTCGTGGCAAGTTCTGTTGAACCGGTGGAACAAGGTGTTGCAGGATTGCTGCATTTTGCTGGATCAATTGGTCCATACCCTGATTCAGAGTTTGGACCTGTTGTTCCAACGCTGCAAGCCACTCCTGGTCATTTGGGATGTCTAGGTTTTCACCCGACTCTTCCCTTTGACCAGATCCCTGTAACGATATTCCTTCGGTGACCATACCGGATCGCAAACGTTTCTACCCAACTGAGTATTAATATAAGGGAATTGTCGTTCCCACAGACGGCGCCAGCTGTTGAGGCTCAAATTCGCCGCGACTTGGTACGACACCGTTTCCTGCAAAACTAAGACGATAAAGTCAAACACCGGTGTGGTGCCGGCCGTTGACCCTCCGACGATCAAGTTAGTAGGAGAAAAATAATTTTTTATCGTAATTTCCAGTAGGAGATCTTTTTGTGTGTACCTTATTCCCGAGTCGTCTTCGTATTTATAGTCACTTCCCTTATTCTTGATAAGGGAATTTCATCGTCCTTAGCCCATGGAGTTTATCTCGTAGAAATCTTATCCTTGATAAAATTTGAACTTACCCCATGACAAATATTATCCTTGATACAATTTGTCATCATTCTCATCCAATAGAAATGATTATCCTTGATAACGAAATATTATCGTTTGAAAGTTGAAGAAGTCTGGTGGCTAGTCAAAACTTAATTACCTCTGTCATTAGGTCAAGATATGTTAGAATTATTTTTCCCTATCAAAATCTATTTTCCATATAAGTCCAAACGATCACAAAGTTATTTGTTGATTAGATGGCACCATTTTTTTTTTATAGTGTTTTTTTTGTTTTTCCTCCCCTAAATGAACTGCTTGCATTTTCTGAGTTCACCTATTAATCAATTATTGTTTACAATTATATATATATATTTCCATTGAATTTTGAAGTTGTTTATCCAAAAAGACAAATTTTGAATTAAAAAAAAATAATTTATAATTTTGATATAAAATAAATTTTACGAACGTACACATTTCTAGTATATATATATATATATATATAGAAAGAGAGAGGGGGTTTATGGTTTTAGAGATATGAAATGTAGGATTTTTAAGAGAACTGTTAGTTTCCAGCAATTTTGTGAAGAGATATTAATTGGGGGCACATACTACGAAACGCCGTCGTATTGACTTTGCAGGTTGGTCAACTGTCTGGACCCGAACCTGGACCTAAACCTAGGCCTGGGCCAGGGCAGGAGTCCATCATGTAACTTAGAGATAGTCCATTGACAAGGCAACACCTAGGAGGTCGGGAGCTTCGAGCTCTTGGAATCATTTCGAAGTATTTTCTAATAATATCCTAATGTATGAGAGACGAATAGATTGCATGTGTCCGGTGATGCGTTGTTGTGTATTCTAAAAGGCCCGATAGCACCATGACATCGTCAACAATAAATAAAAACAATAATAATGATAATAACAAAAATAAATAAAATAAAGAACCAATAACAACTATAAGAAACCACCAGAAATGAGGAAGATGTTTCAAAGCTTGGTGAAATGTTAAGGGCTATTTGCTAAAATTGAAAACTCCTTTTGCCTGTTTTTCTGTTGTTGAGCTTTTGCCCTTGTTTGTACAGTTCATTTCAATCAATATACTTGCCCTTTTTACCGAAAAAGAAAAAATGAAAACTCATTATTGTTGATTTAGTTGCAATGGAGATTTTAAACGTAATAAAATAATATTTGAGAATAAATTGCCAAGTCTAATTTAATTTCAAAATGATGTTCCCCTTAAGTGAGAAGTGAATTTGAGATATTAAAAATGAAAATTTTTAAAATTGTAACTAAATATGTAACATAAATTTTGTTTCCTGCAGTGAATAAATGTCATAAAAATTCTCCTTAGTTTTAGCTACTATATTGTTTTTTTGGTACTTCCTTTCTACTGTCAAATCTTTACTTAATGATGATTAATACTCCCTATGTCCTATTTTAAATGTCGTTTTTGAGAAATGTAACTTATTGTAAGACAGAGGGAGTACTTGACAAGTATGAGCTTGCTCAACTTAGAATTGATTGACACCTTTTAAAATTTTTATCAATCATATTAAAGCATCACTCGTTTATTAAACAAGTCAAGTCAACAATACAAAAAAACGAATCCGCAATGACTTATATGAGAACTAAATTCAAATCAAGTCTATATTCTTACAAAGAACTTAACTTGAATTCTAGCCAAACACGAACAATCTTCTGAGTCAAGCTCAAATAGACCTCTGCACACCTCAATTTGCCTCATTTCAATTCCAAATAAGTGTTTCTCCCTTGTGTTTTTGTTTGTCAGAAAAATATAATAATAAATAAATAATTTTTTTTTTTTAAAAAAAAAAAAAACCCAAAATAATGAATAGAGAAAGTAGTAATTTACTATGCTACATTTACAATGGACCTAATTTTAGGTACCATTGCCCCATCCTCAGCTTATATTTGGCTTCAACACTTTCACCTTTGCAGCCAATGAATTCAAATTGTAGCAGCCCATGAAAATGGTAATAAATTACCCTATCCATATATATATATATATATATATGGATATGGTATCTCTTTCTGTGCTGGCAAGGGGTTTGTTTCCCTACTTTTGCGCGCGAGTATGACACAAGTATGAAGGACCCATTGAGGCAAACAGTGCAACTAAAAAGAGTGCAAAGAGTGACCAATTCACTTCACCCCCAACTATAATAACATGACCAAGACAAAAACAATATTAAAGTAAGAATGCTCAATCATTATTCCTAAAAATTTAGAGGAAGAACAAATATTTGACTAATATCTCAAATATACAACTATCGATGATGTTCAATTCACCGCTAATTTTTTACATTACTTTTAGGAGCATGTTAATAGGCTGGACCGAAGACGAGCTTAATTTTTGACATTATTTTTGTACAAAGAGATTGCTTTCATAACTAGACCTACATTGTGAGGCCAAACATTAAACCGTTATATCAATCAAATGACGATAAAATCAAATAATTGTTATTTGCCCCAATGGATGATTATTAATTCAAAAGTAGTATAACAAATATTATGGTGTCATGCTTAGACATCATTCAAAATTAATCTATATAAAAAGATGGAGGAGATATGAGCACCTCACCAACATTTGCCCTAATCTGCATAATCTATTTTGTTCAAAAGTAGCATGACAAATACAATGGGGTCATGCTAGACATCATTCAAAATTAATCTATGAAAAGAGAGAGAGGAGAATATTTGCCTAAATCTGCATAGTCTAATTTTATTTAAATAACTCATTTGTTCTATTTGTCTAGATAGATTCCTCATCTTAAAAAAATAATAATAATAAATAAATAAATAATAACACTTGACCACATTTGTAAATATCAAATCCCCACCTAACCACTGCAAGTCCATTAAACAATGTCATGCAACACATTAACATACAACCTAGTTCGAATCTTTGTGTAATCTAAGCTTATGTGCAGATCATTTTCTTCAATTGGGAATTTTGGGATTGGGGAAGTCTGATTCAAACACCTAGAAATTCCAAAGTATCCTTTTCAAAAAATAGTTTCAAATCCAGTCTACTTCTCTATCCATTTTTGCTTAAAAACTAAGGAGCAAGTGGTGTTCTATATAATAAAATTCACATTCCACCAACCAAATTTCATGTTATTCCTTCTTTTGACATCCCATCATTTGAAAAAACCAACCTTTATAAATTCCTACCTAATTTAAGGCAAAGGATTCTCTTTTCCTCTCAAGCATGTCTAAAGAAAATGTCAGAAGACATGCTCTGCAGAAGAACACAAGTCCTAGAGAAAAAGAGAAGCCTTGCCACAACTTTTTCTCCAATCAACTGAAGAAAGTTAAATGGAACCGAATTGTTTGCCATTTCTTCTCTCTCTCACAAACTAGCTCTGATACCACTTTGTTGGAAATAGTGGCCTAGTTACACACACAACACTATACTATTTGGAAGAGAATAGAAATGGAGGAAAATATTTCTTATTTCACTTGATGGAAAATGAGTACAATGCATGGGTTTATATAGGCTTCAAAACATAAATGTAAATGAAACTTAAAACCCCACTAACATATCATTTAGTAGGCAAAACTCCCACTAACCCACTAACATGACCATTTAGTAGGCAAAACTCCCACTAACCCACTAACATGACCATTTACTAGTTGTAACTCTCATGTCCCCCACTAACTCCAATAAAAAACTCACATAAATGTAAAACACTAAATAAAATAAAGTTTAGGTTAGTGGGAGTTTTGCCTACTAAATGGTCATGTTAGTGGGTTAGTGGGAGTTTTGCCTACTAAATGATATGTTAGTGGGGTTTTAAGTTTCATTTACATTTATGTTTTGAAGCCTATATAAACCCATGCATTGTACTCATTTTCCATCAAGTGAAATAAGAAATATTTTCCTCCATTTCTATTCTCTTCCAAATAGTATAGTGTTGTGTGTGTAACTAGGCCACTATTTCCAACAAGTTTACCCAACTAGGCTCTTGAAAAGCAACTCACCTCTGTCCCTATCTTCCTTATCGCTGTCTTTGTCACAGAACTCGAACGATTCTTCTCTCACGGATTCTTCTCCTCCGCTGACTCAGAAGATCACATTGGCCCTGCTCCGGATTGCTCCACCTGAAAGAAGAGAAGTCACGGTGGCTAAGGATGTTGAACAGCACGATACATGTTCGAGTGGTGAAGACTTGAAGAGGTGCAACTGGATTACAAAGAATAGTGGTAAGCTATAGAACTCGAAAGCCCTTGAAACAATTCAGTATTTCTAGCATGTTAAAAGACTCGTAAAAATTTTAACATGTCACATTGATGTCTGCAATATCATACTACACTCAACTTATAGTGCTCATATTTATGCTCATATTTTATCAAGTGTTTGAGCTTGTGACTTATGACCAACTGTTCCAAGTGCCTCACCTACTTCAAATATCTGTTGTGAAATCTATTCCCTGCTTGGCAAGTGAGAAAAATATAGAGAAAGGAAGAAAAGAAAATAGTAACCTAACCAAGATTCTCCTACTGCTTAGTGGTTAGGAGTCCAATAGGGCAACAGCATGTTTTATTAAGAATGCCGAGTTTCATAATAATGGCACTGTAATACCAGTGGTTCAGCATATCAGAGTAAATCTAGAACTAAGAAGGGAAACTCATATCACTTCACATAGAGACATATACATAATATATGCATGTTTGCACGGAAAAATTTAATTCAATGAGAAAATAGAGATTGATTTAGAAATTTTTGCAGATAAAGTTTATATACAATTCCATGATGAGTGCTGGGGAGTTCCAACCTATGATGACAAGTAAGTCATTTGTGGCTTTCAATTCAAGTTCATCGATTAATTACAGCGCGCGTGAGATATGAACTTTAACTGGCCAATCATCAAACAGCCAATTGTTTGAGCTGCTTGCCATGTCTGGTATGTTGATGGATTTCAATTGGACTGAGATTCTAAAAAGAAGAGAACCATTGAGGTATAGTTTTCTTTTTCTTTCAACCCTCAACTTCTATGAAGACTTCTAATATTCTGAGTTACACTATTTCCTTATGAATGCTATATTATTACAACAAATGAGTAACACATGCAGAGAAGCTTTTGCTGAATTTGATCTCAACGTTGTCGCCAAAATGGAGGAGAAAGAGATCACGGAAATAGCCTCCAACAAAGCGTTAATGTTAGCAGAGAGCAGAGTTAGTTGCATAGTAGACAATGCCAAATGCATAGTGGAGGCAAGTTTTGAGTAATTAATTAGTCTTTGCAGTGTTTTACGATGAATTTTCACCAACATAGATTAAATTGGTCATTGTACTTTTATTTTTGACATAAATGTAGGTTATGAAGGAATTTGGATCTTTCAGTAACTATATATGGGGATATGTGAATTACAAACCGGCAATCAACAGATACAAATACCCGAAAAATGTTCCTCTGAGGACTCCAAGAGCAGAGGCTATCAGCAAGGATTTATTGAGGCGTGGATTCAGGTTCGTGGGGCCAGTGATTATCAATTCATTCATGCAAGCTGCGGGAATGACAATCGATCATCTTGTAGATTGTTTTCGGTTTAATGAATGCGTAAATCTAGCAGAAAGACCTTGGAGACATGTCTAACCTAAACTTTATATTAACTTATTAAATTTTTTTGTGAAATTGTTTATTAGAAGCAACATCATCAAGCAGTCAAATTCATAAGTTGATTATTGAATATATGCATTTAATTATTATCAATTTTCGCAAGCCAAGCCTACAAACCAAGACAACGTGGCATTCCCCGAGACTTCATCTGCAAAGCTATCCTTGTGTTGAATTTGAACTCCTACTTATGGACACCTACAGAAGTTAACTGCTCTTATAAGCTTGACAAGCATGGTTAAGAGTTAAGTGTTCACAGGAAGGACCCGAGTGGCCTTAACTCCTCCACAGAGCAACAGCTTTCTGGTCCAAACACATATTGATTTTAGAATGCCAATATTCTCACACATTTAATTGTTCTTGTTATGTTCGAATTCAGATAATTAAATCCCTAAATTCCATGACAAAAGGGGAGGGGCTCATAAAAATGTGTTCATCAAGCGATTCAAGCCCAAAGAGACTCCCATTCAGAAATCACCTGCATTGTCCCAAAACAGAGGCTAGTCCCCTGGCACAGAATTGTTGACAAATTCTTGCTGATAACATTACGAAAAGAGAAGGTTTCTTTCAATAGTCTGCTTTCGACAATGGAAAAAAGTTTTAACATGGGTGGCACAGAAACCATGCTGTGGAGAATTAAAAGTTGATAAATTTATAGAGTCGATTTTCTTAAAAGATTTGATGCAGTGTCCTCTATTAACGAAAAGTTTTACATGTCAAGAAGTTGGACTAATTAGCTAAGGAGAGGAACCCTAATGAGCTTATCAATTTTCAAACATTAAGCTTGCTTTAAATACTACTGCCTAAATTAAGATTTCAATGTACTGTTGCTCCTTTGAGGGCACTCAAACAAACTGGTCACTTCTGCATTGCATTTTTCTAAGTTGTAACCGTTACTAAGACTTGTAGGTGCCAAATCTTGAGAGAACACAAGTAGATAACAAAATATGTGGAGGAAATATTTGGATGTTACCAAGTACTTTGTTCGTATCTATGCCATTTCAACTTGGATTTGTATACAATGCACAAATATTATTTCCGCAGCAAACTAAAGTCCAATCTCCAATATTGCCGCTTTCTAAAACATCAGTTGACTTGAAATTTTCTAATTTGTGAAGCTACACATGAATTTTTTTTTTTTTTTTAACTGATCTATACGACATGAATTACATGAGTAAGAATGAAATTGATCTGATCCTGTAATTTTGGCATAATGTAATCCGGCAATTCCAGTACCAATTGTGAATCTCTCAATTTAAAGGAGATTGAACTATTCCAACAAATTATACTCCCCACTAAGAAGAAATGTAAAACAAGAAGCCCACAACCACAGTGTCACACCACCATAGCCCTATGCAAATTTTTTGATATGTAAAGGTTTAATACAAAGAGACCAAATTCAAATCAAATATTGAAGTTATAATTCACAGGGCATTGATATCAAGTATGCCACTGCCTGCTTAGTTATGGAAAACATGTGTGAAAGAATAGAACTCTATGTTGTCTAATTCCCCTTATGTTGATTTGGACATGAGAAAGCAAACCTCTCCAATAAGCCTAATACATGTGGTAAGCTTTTATTTTTCTTTTCCAAATCCTAAGTAACATATTTATAAACATTACATGTCAGGACCCAAAGGTAAAAGTTCTGTATCCAATCTACCCTCTTACGTTCTGTATTGACTAGATGAGCAAGAAAAAAGGACTTAATAACTTAAAATTAAGAACAAAAATCCCCTAAACATTTTCTCCAATGTTTCATGCCCCCAAAGGCGGAGGAGAAAATAGGTTTGGCAGGGGTTGAGTGACAAAAATCTGACATTGGTCACTTACCATACAAATGTTGACTTTTATTTTTTGCTGTGCTACATTATATTTTCTCCGTATTGCATTTTTCTGTGTGTTTATTCTCTCACTTTCATGCTGAGATTCATTTACAACCACCAATTATGTATTAAAGATTTTCTCCTGTAATAGAGTTGGTTAACTTGGGTGTATACTATTATTTGCATAAACCTTATGGCTATTCTCTAATTGTACTTTTCTGAAGAAACACAAATTCTTCTCCAAACATGGCAGGGAGAACCAGACAACCAACAATTTAACATCATGTTCTGGAAGAAGTTATTTTATCTAATTAAGTTCTTGACCTAGAATTAATTGTAACTATTTAGTATTATCTACGTTCTTTGTTCCATATGTGTAAAGGGATTTTTGCATCTCTAGACTCTAGAATATATCAAGGAAAGGAAAGAGGAAATCAAGTTCACACATACCACTTGCCTCCAAAGGAACAATTAATGATTTCTTGACTCTGTCCTTCCAAAAATATGAAGGTCACTGCATAAGAACAAGACAATAATATATCAGTTTAAAACTTTCCAAAAATATCAAGACAGCTACTGGAAATCTGAAGGAAAGCAAATCAATGATAGATTTAGCATTGAATCAACCATTGAGTTGAGGGGCCAATTGTGAATTTGGTTCAAGTCCAGTTATCAGTGGGACCTTATCATGCGAGGGTTCTTTTTTGCTTGGGATGTCAGCATTGGCCAAGTTTCTCTATAATCCTTCTCCTGAATAATGAGTTTGAACTACCATGACATACTGCTATGAAACATCGAGACAAATCTAATGAAATGATAGAACAGGAATCCAGAAACGGCTGAACAGAAAAGTAATTAGATAACAAATTGGTAATGATGAAAGCCAGGTGTTCTGAAACAGACGTACAAGTGCATCACACAATGTGAAAATATAGTTGTGACATTCCTTTGAACTTTCATACAATCTCTAAAGCTTCAAAATAATCCACACCCACTTCATTTACAGAGAAAATGCTGGAAATTAAAGGAATGCTAAAAAATAATGTTCCAGATTATATTTCCTGCTTTTCTTTTCCTCCAAATTAACATGGACAATAAGCTAAGAATTAATGTTGATAGCAAAGAATAGTTACACCTAGTTTTTTCCCCCGAAGATGAGTCCCACATGCAAATATATGAACAGCATTACAATTCCAGATCCTCCTCTACATGTGCATGCGAGCGCGTATATACATACACACATATTGTCACTATCATCAATAATACCCTAGCTCCCCCTTTAATCAAATGTAATTTTAAACCTTCTTCATCACCACATCCTTTCTTTTGTTCCATCTCTATATATAAATGTAGAGAAAAGACAGACATGGAACACTACTTGTCTGAGACCCAAAGCTAATACAACAAAATATGAAAATAACTAATTCAACACAAAGATAAGAAACAAGGAGTCCAATATTTACATAAAAGTTCTTTTTAAAAGATTAATTTCATTCTACAAATTATTTATGAAACAAGTACATAAGGAGTGATAAAGGAAAAGAATACAACCAATTCTAGTCGGCCCTTTCACTCAGGAGCCTTTAAGAATATTCACAGAACTTAATCCTACAATTACTTCCAACTACACCTACCCAGGAGAAAAGCCACAAACCAAGCCTACCCTAAGAACCCTTCACTCCCACAAACCTGCAGTCTTATTCTACCAACGTATAGTAATAACTAATTCTCAAAACTGGCATGAAGTCCCAAGCCTCTGTCTCGTCCTCTGGCCAAGGGTCACAGACTTCCGCTTGGCGAATGCTGGGGACAGCAGCCCTCCGAACTTCTCTACAAACATGGCCCATTCCTCCTCATTCATGTCTGCTAGCTTCACGCAAGTCATGCTTGCAGGAAGCTGCTCATTTGCACTCCGGTGACCAGATGACGATGAATTTGTCATATAGCCATTTTCTATTTTAGATCCTTGAAACTTCTTCTGATTCAAATCCAAAATGGAATGGTGCTCTGGACACGAAGTCATCCGATGCCATTTTTGGAGAAAAGTCAAATTCTGCTTCTTCAAAGTCTATAACAAACAGATACTCACCTAATATAAGATGCATGGATAAGTTTTCTTGCTCCAGGATCAGCAGTAAATTACTACTTGTCATCCTCTCCATTCATTGCAAACGATTGCCAAGACAATTTGTGACTGCGTTTCCAAGCAGTGTGTTTCATATTTTATTTCTGACTTTGAAATTGCTCCTCTTAATACGCCATTTTATTTTATTTTATTTTTGTGTGGTTTAGATTACATAGCCTAATAATAATACAATAGTATATACTTACACAGATATCTATGAAAATGACAAAAAAAAAAAAAAAAACTCATAATTTTGTGGGTCTATTTTATTTATGCTTTGGTGTGGGTCTTGTATTGTAATATGCTCTTGCTACTTGTTTGGGTTTGTTGTCTTATGTGGCTATACTAAGGTTTTTTTGACCAGACAAGGAGAGTCGTGAGGCACTAAGGTCTGATCTTTTTATTATTAGGGTAATTATTTAATTTTTTTAAAATATATATCTTAAACGACTATTAGAATGAGAAGGGGATAACTTGAGATATTATTTATTTTTGGCAATTATCGTAGACATAACGAGTCCAAGTTGAGTTGTAATTTACATTACTTGTTCTACAAGTCATCAAGTTTAACAGGAATTCCACAATTAGGAAGGAGTTCAAACTTATCATACTTGAAGAGTTTGTGATGAAATGGATAAGGACACTACATTAGGAAGGAATATAAACAAGATTGGACATTCTACACTTTCCATGTTAGTCTACAATTTTCTTAGAATGAACCAAGGCTTGGAGAATTCGAAATATTCAAGTCTGCCAACCTTGAACCGGTTCAGCGTCCTTGAACCGGTTCAAGATGTTCAAGTTTGATACACTGTCAAACTTGAACCGGTTCAGCATCCTTGAACTGGTTCAAGAACTCCTGTTTGCAATACAATTTCAGTTTCCTTATTCTGAATTGTTTCCAAGTTGGTCTAGAATTGTACCAAATACTATGCACGAAATTTACCTTATTTTCAGAGGGATTAGGTCATTCTATACTCTATATAAACCATGTCATATACATTGGTTTATTCACGGCTTTTACATCATAACTTAGATATTATTCAAAGCCTTAGGAAGTTTATTTCTCTCAGAAAATCAAAGTTGATTTTTTTGTTTTCTTCCTAGAAGATACACTTATTC